CTAATTAATTAAGCCTTCTGCATACAGATTAAGGATCTCATCACCAACACAAATGCAAGCATGAAGCAGTTCACCAAACACAACTGAAGAAATTCAGAGTAGAAAGTTGGAAACATCTTTACAAGTGACCTGTAACATTACACAACTCCTCTGTAGTACTGTAGAGCTTATTTGCTAGAAATTTGCTCTTTCAAACTCCAGAAAAAGAGATGTTTTTTCTTGGGCTAAGCAGCAGCAGGGAAGTGACTCATGGCAAAACAAACAAATGAAATGAAGATAAGAAGTGAAAAGGCAGTTCTGAAAATCAGGGCAAAGAAAGGGAAGTTTTAAAAGGTTACACTGTTTATTAATGAGTATCATAATTTTACCTCAGTCTGTTGTGTCTAACCGCTTTGCAAATTCAGGGCCATGAATAAGTCAGTAGGCAGTAGCACTCTTATTTCTGCTTGTGTATTTGTCACTTCCAGATAAGTGGAAAGCACAAACACCTTGGCACAGGTATTTGTGCTACTGGTGCTGCCAAAAGATTTACAAAAACTGGTTACTAGGCAACTGTTTATGACAAAAATCTAGATAGCATCCTCTTATTACTCAGATCTAGAAAGAGAAGAGTCAGCCCCCCACTGACGGTGTCAGGCCACTTGGGAGATAACGCCTCCGAGTGCAAGTGTGACCACCGTGTACATCACCCTATGCCCTCTGCTTTTTCTGAAGTTGCCCGCTTTTAAGCTGTAAACTCTGTACATTAAGAAGGTAGCTCTTAAAAAAAGTGGATCACAGTGCATTAACAAACTAGGTGAATGTTTAAGAGGGCTTCTGGATCTCTTGCCATTACCCTGATATTTATTTAATGGACTAGACACTCACACACAATAATGGTAAGTGCCATTTATGAAGCTGAGAGAGAAATAGTGCTCCAGCTGGGCTGGTGGGAAGCAAAAAGGGGCAATCCTATAATGCCTTTGAGAGCAGCACTCCTCATACTGGTGCTTTATCAAATACAAAATTCTTTTTTTCCCCTCCAGATAATTTTACTATAAAAATAATATTCCAATTTTGGTGGCTGTATTTTTTTAAATTTCCAATAATAGATCACAATAAATATACGTACATATACACATACATATATTTATACATAAATTATATTTTTATGTATTGTCTTTAGGTTTTAAGGATACCACTGAGGGCAGAGCTCAGGCCACATAACCAAGGACAGCATATTGGTCTCTCCTCATAACAACAACAAGCAGCAGCAGCAAAACTTCATTAATCCCACACTCCATGAAGCCTCAGAGCATCCATCTAGACGTGCTGTTTCTAAGCCTTATTCATCTACTGACCCCACCGCATGCAGAGTATTTGGTAACGTGTACATGGGGAACATGGAGAGGAGACAGAGATACTTCCCAGGTCACTGCCACCTCTGTGAGTGGTGACAGTCTAAAGAAATATGCCTGGAACTTTTTTTTTTTTTTTTTTTAATGAAGAGGATGTAACCTTAGTGATGAGAAATTAGCTTTAGAACCTTTCTTACAAAACTGATTAGACAGATAGATCTGTGTGGCTTCAAATGCTCTGAGAGCTTTATTCACCCCCTCCTTCATATCACCTTATTTAAAATTAACTTACATTCTCACCTATACTTAAGCAGAAACTGTTGCCATGGTAACAGTGGAGGTCGTCTAAATCCAGCATATGATGTAAGCAACACAGATGAGTCCCTATAGAAAGGGAAACTGGCACCACACACAGCATATTTCATATGGGGGGAGCAGAGATGGGAGGAGCCACTGCTGCTGCTGCCCCTGGGAGGCACTGCAGTTCTCGGCTGCAAGGCACCTCTCATACTTCTCCCTTCTCAGACATGAAAGGAGCTGGAAAAAGAGACTAAAGCTCCATAATGAGCTGAGAGAAAGGTGCCCTCAGAGCTGACTCCAGCACTGTTGCATCTGAAAATCTCGACAAAAGCACCAGCCCTGTTAGTTCCCTGCCAGCACAAGGCAAAAGAGGAATCATGGTTCACATCACCTTCCTCCATATTTGCATTTATTGCCCGTGTTTTTGCTCAGCTGTCCTCTTTTAGATGCCTGATCCCTCCACATTACTCTCACACTACTAATGCCCCACTGCCAGCTTGTTGGCCTGCCATGGTAGCAATATGGGACTCAAGGGCCAGGTGGTCAAGGCAGCACCGTCCTGACTTGCACAGAGCTGGTCACATCCAGATCCGGAGATACCATCAGCTTGAAGCAGTGTTTGCCATCTTTACCCATCATTCCATGATCTTGATGTTTCTATGATGTAAAAATTGTCACTCCCCCTGGCTACAGTACCTGAGTTAGCCACTCAAGAGCTGTAGCACTGGGCCACTCAGTTTCTGTTCTCCCTCTGACCCTGCCTGTGCATATTAGCCCTGAAATGCAGGGTGGAAGGAGTTCAGTCTCCACAACTCCCCCCACCATTTTTTCATTTGCTCAGCTCATTAGTGCTTTCATGTAATGAAAAACTATTCATAAGACTGGAGTGAGACCACCACATCATTTCCCACAGACCACTTAGCTGCTATCAGAATAGCAACAATTGCTGATTTGGGCTCAAGCTGAACCAAAGAGACCATTCTTTCTCTTATTGCCCAATGCATCTGCTGAAAATTATTCCACGTGGCACCCACACAGACAGAAATCCTCTTCAAAACACTTATTTCCCTTCTATCTATGCGACTTGCCTATGTATTAACAGGCTTTCCAGGATTTTAATTCTCCTCCCTGACTCTCTGAATCCCAGGTTTCGTGGAATTTCTGAGTGTTCATAAATCCCTACAAAGGGTTGATTTAACCATGGAAACAAGATCAGATCTGAAAGGAGGGAATTTAAATAATAAATACTATCCTGCCATTATCCTACAAAATAAGGTCAGGGTTTTACAGCTGATAAGGTCAAAATAAAGGCTGCATTTTTCTGTCCTTTTCATATTGAGAAATCTTAGAGACTGCTACATCAACAACCACAGAGTTTACAGCTGGGCTCTTTATGACAAGGGTGTCAGAATATGGCGTAGGAATTCAAGGAGGGCAGAAGCTATTTTTATAAAACTGTCACTTGATCTGCTTGGACTATCTTTATCAGAGTATTGTGAGGATACGTATAGCAACATATAGCCTTTTTTACAAGAGCTCCACAGCTTCCTATGTTGAAAATTTGCTGGTAATTTTGCCTCAGCAAAGAATAGAGGAACAGACTAAATAAAGCTTTGTTGTTGTTGTTGACATTTAAATAAATGATTAAAATAAACAAGAGCAACAACAGCTACAAAACCCCCTCATTTGCCTACCAAAGTGAGTGCTTTCCAGCTTTTGCAACTCTCATTTCTACTGCAGTTGCCTCCTCCAGATATTTTAAAATCCATATAGATGCACATATTGGACTAGATATTCTTCTACTTGTGATCTCTGGAGATTTCAGTTCTGTGGAAGCTCAAAAAACTTACTGCTTCTGCTCACCTCCTGTTAACTTGGCACACTAAGTCACACCAGAACGGTATTTATCACTTAAATTTCTGCTATTTTAACATTTTTATCTAGCTAAGCAATTAGTGACAATGTGCAGTAGTTTAATGGTCATCTTCTAAATTTCAAAGTTTATTCTTAATATTCCTACCTCCCTGTCCATATGTGAACCTCCCGGTTGCTAAGCAGCCTTCTGCTGCTGGCTGAACTTAACTCACAGCGAACAAAGTTAGATATGGTGATTTTTGAAAATGTTCCTGTTGTGCTCGGTAGCAGGCAGTGATGGGCATAGTCAGACACGAGGTTTCCAGTTCTCCACTGTCAGAACCCTTACATAATTTCATTAAAACCAGCAGAAATCAAATAAAAATTGGACCAAATCAGAATGCCACACCTTTCCAACTGCTTTATCTTGGTGTGAGTGACTGCATAATATGCCAGTCAATTGAAAATCAGCTTTGCATTTTTACCATTTAAGAGCAGATTTAAGCAGTCCCCTGGGCTCCTGGTGAAATGGCCCACACAGGAGCAGGGAAGGAGAATGAAACTTTCTGCCTGTGATTCAGAGCTCACTATTCCTTGTATTTTATTTTTTTCTATAGCCATCTTCATTAATATTCTCTATCCAGAAACTTTAGGAGCCATCAGCAAAAATTAACCTATGGCCAGAGACAGTTCTGCTCTCTGGGAGAACTTGGAGTAGGAGAGAAGGTCATGGGATACTGCCAAGTATGTTCGAGCTGTACTCAATAATTCTGTGACGCTAACGTCATCCTGTGCCCTTGTCAAACAGCATTCCTACCTGCACAAACAGATGTAGAAGCTCTTCTTTTGGACTCTGTGCAGTCATGCATCCTAATCCCAAATGGGTGCCCAATGTGCCATCATTTCTTATCATCATACAGTCTCTAAAAATGTCTCTATCAGTTTAGTCTCCAGTATGTTTTGCTGGCAATAACAAACCAAGGAATTAACTTTTTTGGAAACTGCCTTTCTCTTTAAGGACTAGGTAGCTGCAAGAAGCACAGTAGTCAGGAGAGGAAATAAGAACTTCTTATCCATAATGCCAAACTTACATTCTAACCTCTTACAGCTCCAATGCCACACCCAAGCAAGAAGCCCTGGAAGAATCCCTGCTATGCTACTGTCTGTACGTTATGTCTTCTACAGACAAAAGAGTCAAATTTCCATAAATCAATCAACTTCAGGAGAACTAAGCTTTTATTCACACACACACACACACACACAAAAAGAAATATGACAGACTAGTCAAGGGAGACTCAGAATAGTGCACAGAGCAAATACAGTATTCCAGTCCCTGATCCAGGATGTTTGTCATATACCACATTCACTTACCACATATTTTATACATACACATATTCAAATTTATACATTTACATGTGAATGTATGCATGCATGTAATGTGTATGTATATATGAATATATTTCTTTCATTAGTCAAAAAGAAATAGCACAATATAAGAAGAAATATTACCTGCAACTGGGAGAGATCAGAGTTTTTCTGTGGAAGATGGAAGAGCCTGCATGCAAATGAAAGTAGTTGAGACCTTGCCTACCAGCTGAGACACATAAACCACAATAACGAGTATGCTGTGAACCACACCAAGAAATAAGACATTCTGCTCCACAGCTCAGATGAAAAGCATATCAGTTTATAAGACCAGTTTTACTCTGGTCAGTAACTGAACGTACCCATTTACCACACACCCGATGAGAAGCAATAAATTGAGAAGCACAGGTCACCCAGTGACCTTTGCCCACTCATCCATACACTAAATGAAGGAACTGACCATGCCTGTTATCAACCTCCTTTCATAAAGTGGCCGGCTATGAAACAAAATGGGTAATCAGACACAATGTTTAGCTTGCTTATTTATAGAATCAAGCATGTCTCATTTAACTCTTAGCCTTAGCAGGTATGTCAAATAGGGTGAGACATGATGAATGACAGTTCTGGCAAAACCTGAACCATGTTGCTAGACAAGATGACTTTTTTGCTGAAAAAGTGAATAAGAACGGATTAATCGAAAAGTGGTCAAGGTTGGTTTTTATTTCAGTGGTATGGTACTGAGGTGATGAGTTTCCCAGGTACTTTACTGAAGAAAGCTCTATGGAAAGCAAGATGAGGAATACGATGGAGAGATATGAGGTGTGTGGCACGTTGTGTAACAAGATTGAAAGAGTGGGCTCAAAATAGCTAGGAGACCCCTACTTACACCCTCTGTGCAGGTGCAGTTGAATGCCAAAGTAGAGGTCTTGTAGTAGATTCTTGAAACCACCTAAGGAGCTGGTAAAAGAAATTGGGACTTGTTTAATGAGCAATTGAATAAGATAAAGGCTTCTTCTGCATATTGATCTGACAAGATGGCATCAGTTACTAGGAAGATATACACAGAGACTGCTGAAGTGAGATTATCTGAGTCTAGCTATAGACCTTCTTTGCCATTTAGGTGGTATTTGAAGTGAGACAGGAATAAAAGCAGTTTCTGAGCCATTTGAAAGCATATTTCTGACACCTTAGGTCAACTGTCATTTTATTTCCAGGGCAGACATATAACTACTCTGCATGGAATTTATTTAGTAAAAAGTGAGCCCCAGACAGGGTATTCGTGCTTGGTTTCTCATATAGCCTCCATCAGAATAGCATTGCCATCGTCAAGCCACACAGATAATTTCTTGCCTGTGGTCTGGCCTCCACTGCCTGAACTCCACTGGGATGACAAAAAGCAGGGAACAAATTAACTGCCAATTATTTTTTAAGCTAGCTGCAGTATTTTTATGATGAATATATTTTTTCTGGGCCCAGAACACTTGAAATTAGCAGGTTTTCCTTTCAGTTTATGGCATAGAAAAGCAAGATTGTCCTTGAGGGAATGCTAAACTTTCTTATATATTCCAATAAGGTCTCCAAAAGAGCACACAAAACCTATGGCAAAAGCTGGAGCTGAAGTCCTATGCCCTGAAACTTCATCCAACTCCAACAGCATGCAGCAACAAATTCCTACCAAATATCTTTAGGAATTCTCATATATGGATGATGTTTCTTTCTCTTTATTGCTCATGGCTTTTTTCCCAGGCCCTCACTATGCTGAGACTATCAGCAAATTTTAAGAGAGAAGTGCATGGAAAGAACATATTACTTACTTTTATATGTTTTGGTCCACTGTTCCAATGAGAACATAAATTGTTTCTCAGGAAGATCACCATTTCAAATATTATTTACATCTCCAGGAGCAGACCTCCCTATTTCTTTAGTACACTGAATGGAAGAAAAGACAGAAGATTTAGTATGAATATTAGAAGAAGTCCAGCTATCTATTATGTCGTGAAATAAATTCCCTGGGAGAATATTACAGGTCTCTCACTGGGACACCTAAGGTATGGCAGGGAAGGCATTAACAGAGGTGCAGCAGAGAACAATCTTAATCTCACAGATGGGCCAGATGACCTAAAAAGTTTTTATCCTCTAATACATAGGATTCTGTGTTATATGGTTTTTTTCTCAGTATTCATCTTCTCTGTCTGATTGCAAATCCCATTCAAATGCTCACTTCTCCTGCATAATGCAACCTATAAAATAGCACTAGCCAATTATCTTAGCTATTTAATACCTACAGAGTCTGTCCTTTAGGAAAGTTATAAGCCTATTTTTTCCCTGGATATGTCATTAGAGTGGAAGTGTCACTATGCTCCTGATGACGTGTAGAAAAAAAAAAAAAAAAGACAGGACTGATTGGAAATGTGTTAATTATATCTTAACTTTGCAATGCATTTCAGAAAATATTAATAAGACTGAAATTTCAATTATTAATTACATAATGAGTAACACAATGCAGTTGTGCAGTCTAATCCAGGCACATTCTTGAATAATTTAATTCTGAAAATGGTGTAGCACAAAGGGCTTGGATCACAGTGAAATCAAGCAGTAGTGGGAATGTAATAGTCTCAGGGTGAAGAAATCCAAATTATTTTCTCTCCCCACCCCAATTCAAATGCTCTTCAATGATAAAAATTATATTAGAAAATGTAATCTCAGCATAATATCTAATCAAAGAATAGGGCATCATTCAGTCATTTCTTACATTATTATCAATGGCAAAACCTGTACTCCAAAAATATGCAGTTTCAAGTGTTTGACTGATGATGTTTGTTTCTGATTATTCATCATGGGTTTTATCTGCTCACTGCTAGACCTTTCTTCATAATATCTCTTGTGGAAATAGTCATATTTAATATTAGAATATAGGATAGTTCACAGAGAAACGATGTGAAAAAAAAAAAGGTGTGAAATACAGAAAGTATTCAGAATTTTTTTACTGTGATGAAGAGAAAAACAGACACCTTTCAAAAATATTTGTGAAAGAAACAGACATTGTTTCCCATGCCTTCCTCTCCCCCTTGCTCTCCTCCCCCACTCCTAACGACCCCCTCCCCCAATCCAAATGCACACACAATAGATTTTACTGAAAATCAGACAAAGGATTTGAAGGAGATCCTCCCACACCTGAAAAAAAAATCACGTGCTGGCTACTGCAAGGTGAAGGAATGTGATCTCTTGACACCAGCCCCTCTTGTCTGTCACCATTTTATATCTCTCTGCAGCCCCATCAGGCTTCTTTCACTGCCCTCTGCAGCTTAAAACACCTTGCCAGCGAAGGGTTGAACTGCACTTCTGCAAAATGTTTCAGTTGTGGCAAACTGGCATTTTCTGACAGCACTGAGCACCCACATAACTTTAGGTTCGACACCCTGTCAGGGGCTGGGAGGATGCTAGAAGTGGAAGAGTGCAGGAAGCCTAAACAGGGAACATTTTTATCAGGCTTCTTACCAATTTTTGGTGGGCTGTCACATCCTGGCACGCATGTCTCAAGGGAAGGAACTAGCACAGTGACCCCGGTGCCACCCATTCATCAGAGAAAGAAACAAAAGAAAAAGTGGTGACCACTATTTTGTTGTTGTTGTTGTTGAAATCTATCCTGGATTCACACTACCATGAGAATGTGTACAGATACAGGAGCCAGATGGAGCAAACGTTGGTGTCTTTCAAATGCCACTACCACAGGGAAAGGCGTGCATGCACTCACACACACAAATTAAGGGAGGGAGCACCAGCCTCAAGTGAGAAGAAATAAGGTTGCTGTGGGCAGGAGGGCTGGGGAAGGGAACAGATTGCTGCTCTACTTCTTGCACCTGAGCGCCCTGCCAAACTGTCACTCAGGCCAGAAGTGGCAGCATAACTGCAGCCAGGTAATCCCTGCCAAGCCGTCCCCAGCCAGCCTGAAGGGAGCCAACATGACCTCCTACTCACCCCGTAAGCTGGCCAGCTTCCAGGTAGCCAATGTCATCAGGAAAGAGTTGCTTCTCTGCAAGTGCTTCTGTCTTTCTGGCTGAAATATGCCCCTCTGTGTTTCAGTGACGCAAGCCAAGCCATGGGGAAACAAACACTGGTACTGCAGGTCTTTCAGTTGTTGTTGCTGCTGATTGCAAAACATAAAACTCACCCCTTTTAAAGGATAAGTAAGTTTTTAACTGCTTGTGAGAAACCCTGCAATGCACACTGAATGAATGCTGAAAACATGGGTGGTATTATTTCTTTAACCATGTACGTACAACCATATTCAGATAATTATTCTCCTTAGCTCTTTCCTCCCTTCTTACTGCACGCTTCCTCACTACATGAAGAAATGCTTATTCTCAAAGTCTGACAGAGAAGAAGCCACAAGTGTTGGTGCAAATATCCGCCCTCATGAGCGTCTTCTGACAAAGCCATCATCATTGTGAAAGTGCGTTCTGGGTGCAAGTTACAGACATCAACATAATGCAACATGGAGCCATCTAGTCATATGCACCAAGTTGTTCATTATGGTTAATTTTATGGTTATGGGGATTTTTAATGCTAATTACACTTATTTAGGCAAAGCTGAAGTGCTCGGCTTGGAAAGGACTCACTGAGTTTGAGATCACATTGTGTAAGATAAACGCATCTTCTTACTCCCTTGTGAAACACCACTAGATTCAAGCATAATAAATGGCAACAGAAATGACTACATAGAAAAATGAAAGTTTCCTGTCTATAGTAATGCTGAAAGCAGGATTTGTCTATGCTTATGCTTGGGGAAAATAAATTCCATTGAAACAATTTGGACCTCCCTTGGCTCTGTTGCTTACATGGCCTAAAAAACCTCCTTCTGCACCTCCTTCTCTTCCTCTTGATTTTGCCCTGTAACTTGATGAAAGCAACACTTACTAAGTTGATATTTTTTTGACACCATATGTGCAATTTGCACCAAAAAAAGGTTTTGGCTAAAAACAGAGACATTTACTTCATACTTCTTTTACAGTCAGAAGCATAGACTTAGATTTCTTTAAAAAAAAATAAAAATTCCAAAACTATATATCTCCCTTTCCCAGAATGAATCCTAGAGATAATTTTTCTTTTAAATCTTTAGCTTACAGTATACTCTATCTTGGTAATGCCACATATAATGGCATTCTAAAGAAAATGTTTTCTTGCTTCACAGTGCCTTTTAAAAAATGATAATTTGATGCACAGAGACAAAACTGGGGTGGTGCAGGGAGGGAGAGATTCCTGGCTCAAGTTTTATAGAGTTAGAAAAATTCCAACATTGCCAAGCAAAAGAGCTAGAGGAGAGGATTCATGCCAAATGTAGAGGACTATCTTCCAGAACCATGAGCGCAGCTCTGGTAACTGCAGAGCAAGCCTGCATTGTTCTGGGAAAATGCATTAGACACAAAGGAATATTTCTCCTAACAGAGCAGCAGTGTTTCTTTTTCTTACTCTTCCCCTCCCTTTTTTTTTTTTTTTTAAAGGGCTTTATTTTTAAATGTCATGAAATAGTAGGGAATGGCAATTTTCCTTGGTCATCATCCATGCAAGTGAAAAGCTACTACAGCTGTGTTAGTTTGCAGTCCTATACAGAAATATAAGAGCTGTGTTATCAAGTGTTGTACAAGAAATATATTTCTTCAAATCCACATAATTAAGAATGGGCCCAGCTGAGTAGAAATATACTTTTTTAAAATGATGCTTTCAGCATTGGTTTGGCAAAGTAAATTTCATTAAGTTTATGACTGCTAGCCTAACTATCATAAATATTTTTTGTGTCATTTAGGGAACCCCAATACCGAGTGTTTATGTTGCAAGCAGTTTACCTGCATACATCCCTAGACTCAGTGCAGTCTAAGTAGATACTAGCATTTCATACAATTATAAAATCATATAGTCATAAAATGGCTTGGGTTGGAAGGGACATTAAAGATCATTTAGTTCCAACCCCCCTATCATGGGCAGGGACAACTTTCACTAGACCAGGCTGCTTGGAGCTCCATTCAACTTGGCCTTCCAAGGATGAGGCATCCTGGAGCACAAACTACAGGTATTGTCTTTGTTCACAAACTTTAAGCAAAAGGATGTACTGATTTTTCCAATAACAACATAGAGCTGTTCACAGGATAGGAGCAATGTTTAGATTAAGAGAGGTTCCACAGAAAATGCTGTGTTGGGCTTTATTTCTTTATAGGTGCCAACTAAAAACCGAGCATTTCCCAATAATAATGTAATTATTTTCCATTCCAGGCATGTTATATCTATGCATTAACTAATTCTATGATAGAGTAATCCAAGTAAACATTCAATTTTGAAGTAGTGCATCATATTTCTTTTTGTAACATAGCAGATTGTTATGCACTGTAAGCAAAAAGACAGCAATCCATCCTCCTTTCCTGGCACACAGAAACAAAACAGTTCTCTAGGAATCAGCTCACAGTATCAGTAGTTATGGTTATTATTCTGGCAACACCTATATATTTGTGCCTTAATAAGTGATACTGGTGCAGGACAAGAAGCAACACCATGATGCAAGGGCATGCCCTTATATCATTGAAGACAATGACAACTCCGTAAGGGAATGAAACCACTCTGTAAGTGGTCAGTGAACACAGAAAAGGTGGGAACCTGAATCCAGTGTTTGAATGAGGAGCTGAACTGTTTTGCTAAACAGAGTGGGAGGAGTGTAGAGGAACATTTTGTCCCTTCAGAGAAAAGGCTTCACTAAGTTAAGATCTCATTGAGTTTACAGGTATCTTGTATCATCATGCAAAAATATCCTTATTGCTGAAGTCTTTGTCCACACCTCAGTTAGTCCAATATGGTCCTTCCTAGATAACCTACTTCTCAGGAGCTCTTCTCCCAACTCCTAATTCTCACTTTCACCCACAGACATCCTGCAAATCTAGAGC